TACTTGGCCCGGTGGCTCAAGTACTGCAAATCGTGAAACGCTGTAGGTACATCTTCGGGGCTGGCCCAGACAAGACGAATATTCGCTGTCCAAGACACGTTCGACGATGTGTTGAAAAAGATCAGAAAGCCTGGCAATGCTCACAATTCATGAGTGTGGCAAGAACACGATGCATGATAAGGATCGGGTACATCACAACCCCGACTAATCTACAAAACCATATCAATCACAATCGTAAGCCAATTGCTACCAACACTGGACCTAAAAACATGAACCAGTAACACTGATGAAGCCTTCGACAATGAAGCTGCGGCTCGTTTCGTTTGAACGTGCGAAGTTAGCAGTCACGGTGTTGTGCAAATTCTGTCCATGCCAACCGATTCCGATAGCCTTCGATACCTTCGTTCCCAATTTCCCACACCCGATCAGTTCAATTTGAGCTTCAGAAAATTAGGGACCCGTCGTATACACCATGCAGTCTAGGCATCACCCCTCCCTTAAACCCTACACACTGAATCCCTCAAACAGCAAACAAAACCTCCGATGCTTCTGAGACCCCAGGAAATCAGCAAACACGGATCCTCAGACCCGTCGCATAGAGGTCTCAACTCCGGAATCATTGGAATCCTGCAGACCAACTTAGACATGATACTGTGTATGTTTCTATGAAACTGAAAGTGTGCATAAAAATATAGATATAGATACAGAAACAAATAACGATGTGTGTATGCTTGTGTATATATATATATATATGTATAAATATGTATGTATGTGTATGTGCGGGTTGTGTAAGCTACATTGAGGCAACATGCAGGGCTGGAGAAAATCAGCCCCAAGTCATCAAGTCACCCGGAGTTGTGCAAGGTAACAAATTTAGAATAAGGTTCGCCTGGACCGCAAACGACATTTTAAGAATTGGTTTACGGAAATCAAGACAAGCAGCCCTTTAAAAAAAAAGTTTTTCTCGGCTACACGTGGGGCTTCAGGTGAGCTTTTGATAGCCCGGTAATGAATGCTATGGAATAGCATGACGATTCCCTCAGACGCTATATTACCCTTATACATCCCCTCCAAAACTCGGAAAAAGCTCTAACCACTTGTACGACAGTACACCCTAAACCCTAAACCCCAAACCCTAAACCCGTACACCTGAAGTGGCCGCAGCCACGCGAGGATGCGTGCCGAACCTCGGCTATGCCGTCGCACAGCGCTGCCATGGGCCGTATAAGGGTTTAGGGGTTTAGGGGTTTAGGGTTTAGGGTTGATTACGCGGGTTAGAGCAAAAAGTTTTTGAGTACAAAATCTTGATTTGGCTTCTATAAGGGTCATAATTGGTTTGATAGAGGTTTCTGCGCTTTCTTGTTTTACCTAGGTTCTGAAAGGACTTTTTCGCGGTTGTATACAGATTCTTAGAAGGGTTCACATGCTTTGCATAACGAAGTTTGCGCTTTGATAGGGATGCCTGATGCTGGACTCTACTGTCTAGGGTTTATTTTGGCCATGGGATGATTAGTACTTTGGTTTGAGGAATGCTCTATGGAATAGGGCGTTACGATATTTCGAAATAAAGCTATGTGAATGGTCTACAGGAGCCACTTCCCTAATGATTGTGGCCCCCTTTGCGGGGGCCCGGGTTGAGGTTCCTGGTGGTAATTATCGTGATTACCAGGTAAGAACACTCAGAGTCCAAGAGTAAGAGCGAGCACCGAACGCAAATTCAACAACAATAGTCGAAATCCACGCTCGATCGTGGCGGCAAAAAGAAGGTCACAGGAAAGCACCTCGCGACGACCGTTTCGCTTCTATGTAGAACAGGAATTCCGGCAGAATGTAGCTCTAAACATCGTCATGTCGATCATGAACAGGAAGTGGGTTTGTGCTGGTGGTGGTGCTGCTGCCGAGGCTCACCGGTGATAGACGCTAACACTTCGACGGCAAATAACTACGGCTAAGCAGAGGTTTCAACGGTCAACTGGATTTTCACGAGCTAGGACCACAACATGTCTGCCACTATAGAATCAGTGCTCATCTCAGCCCAGCTGCTCCAACAGCAACGGCACCAAGAATTCGCCTCCAATGCACATCAATACCGGTATCAACTTCTTACATGCCTTTAAACCATATAACAAGGAGTCAAACGATCGAGTTTCGTGCCCAGTGGACCTGGTCTGTGATGAGAGGGTGTGGCGCTTCCGGGTTTAGGGTTTGGGGTTGAGGGTTGAAGGGTTTAGGGGTTGAGGGGCTTTGGGTTTAGGGGTTTAGGGGTTTAGGATTTAGGAGTCCAGGGCCGCCAGAGCTTCAGCACTTCTCTTCCAGAGATTGGCAATCCTCGTTTCGCGGTCGCCTCTGCCAAGAAGTGCCGCGTCTTGCGCTCGCTGTGGTTGCCCCCTCATAGAAGTCAGAGTAAACGCGCCTGTTTCGAGAATAAAAGGCACCTTGTCAACAACTACATCTGGCATGTTATCTATACTTCTATACTGGTCCGGTCTTAAGAGCAGGTCTAGTTCTAAGCTTACAAGTTTACTGAAGACCCTAACCCAACCTCGGACTGCAACCTTCGAACTCCCGGAAGCCCTTTGCCCGGAATGCATCAGCAAGAGTGCCTCGCGCTCATGGGCACAGAAGTGCTCTGGCCGAAACAGCCTAAACTCATCGAGTCCGAGGAAGATTGCAGGCAGAAGTTCAAAGCATCTCGGAAGTGGAAGGCACCTGTGATCGTTCAACCGCAGACCCAAACCCTGCCCACACCCTCCAGATTCTGTAGGCACCCACCGGGCTAACCCCTCAAAAAGGTGTACGTCTTGCACGTAACTTGCTGTGGAAGGTTGACTGCACATCCTCAACGAATCGGTCACTCCCGTTCCCCCCACCCCCAACCTAAACCCTGAACCCTAAACCCTAAATCCTAAACCCTAAGCCCTAGGCCCGAAACCCTAAACCTGAACCCTGAACCTTAAACCCAAAACCTTAAAGCCCTAAACCGTCAACAGAGGATCGCCTCCACCTAGGCCGAGGAGTCCAGCGAGAAGGCCTACTGCAGTGGCCAGCAAAGGCATGGCCATGACCGCGTTCCTGCCCCGGCAACTTGTCTGCTAGGAACCCTAAGGGTTTAGGGTTTAGGGTTTAGGGTTTAGGGTTCCCTAAGGGTCCATGTACCCAAATAGTAGATACTTTGGCCCCAAAGTACCCAAATAGGGACTACTTTAAGGCCAGAGTATCTACTATTTGGGTACATGGACCCTTCAGGTGATATAGGGGCCTTGATAATGAGAATAGGGGTTTGGGGTCAACTATACTAAATTTATAATAAGGAACCGCTGAGAGGGTGTTGACGGTGTAGGGTTACTGCTTAGAGCTCGCTCAGGTGACTCAGTTACGGGTGGGCGGTGCTGCTGTTGATGAGGTCGACGACGATGAGGATGATGGATGATGGAGAGGATGGTGATGGTCATGCGGATGTGGATGAAGGCCATCGCGATCACAGTAGGTAAAGTGGTGGCGAGGACATGATTATTTTACGAAACGGGTGCCAACCAAACTACGAGCAACATAGGGGCCTTAATGGTTATAATAGGGTTTGCGGGGTGTATATTATAGTATAGTAACATAGGGGCCTTAATGGTTAGAATAGGGTTTGGGGGGTGTATGTTATAGTACACGTATGACTGAGGAACCCTAGGTGGTAATTCTCCCGGACTCTATGGTGCCGGGAGGGTGCAAAGACAAGCCGGTAGTTGGTCAGAGTCTCCGGCCGAGACCAGGCAAACATAGAGCTTTAATGGGTGAATGGAGAAGCCTTGAGTAGGTTGCACATAAAGGGGTTTAGGGTTGAGGGGCTACGGTTTAGGGTTTAGGGCTGAGGTATTTCTAGTGTACGATGAAGTATTCGGAATGTTACCGACTCAAGGCTCCGGGCTTTGACAACGTCCAAGCTTCATGCTTTTCACTCACACCAGTCGCATCCCAAAGCAGCCGCAGAAAGCTGCAAGTCCTGCGCCCAGTATTCCCGAAACCCTTTACCCTAAACCCCCAGAAGGCCTGCCGATCGTCGGGTCGCCTTCAATTGTGCCATCACCCCGCTGCTGGTGCCAGTCATCAAGGTGCCTCATGAACCTCACAGCTTGCAGTTGAGGAACGTTTGAGTCGTTTGTTTTCTGAGAGCCCTGTAGCATGGTGGAAGCTCCTTTCGTTAGGCTGGGTATTGTTGTCTAAGATTTCGGTTTGACAGCCTGACGTTGCGAGGTCACCTAGGTTGCATTCGGCATCCTACGCGCAGAATTGCACAGGGCACATCTGCGTGGTCACGTTGAGGGGCAAAGGGGCATGGGTGTTTGCCTTGTGAAGGGCCCAGTGTGCTTGGGTTTGCCCTGTACTTAAATTCTGAAGCCTCAAACTGTCATGCTTTATGTTTGAAAATATGCCACCCACATGATTCACGAGTCCAGTGCCCTCCCCAATAATAATGACATCATAGGAGTCTCACTTTAATAGTATCAATACTTCGCTTACTAAAAATAATAACAGTAGGAACCATAAAAGACGTAAAGCACTGAAGCGGCCCGAATCGCAAGCAACCGGTACAAGGCGAGGGAAGACAAGGCTGCTCTAATTCCGACACAGGAGGATCTTACGTGGCAGTCGCTTCGGCAACACTGTTGTGTTGCTATGCAACTTGGCAAAGAAAAACTGAACTGTTGAAACACCAGTCCAGACAGGCTGGAACGGCACCGTCCCAGTGCAAACAGTCTCTGGCCAAGATCACGGAGGTCACAATTGAAAGCGTGAGATACTGCCGAGCAGTCAAACCGATTGAATTATGCCTGCTTTCTTGCTTCATAAGGAATGACATGCACCCCTAGACTGACAAGTTCGTGGCAGAATGTCTCCGGCAAAACTATGCACAGGAGTATGCGGTAACTAGCATGAAGCTTCCGTTACATAGCAGGCGTTCGTGTCATCACGACACTAGGGCTGCAAGTAGTGCAAGCGACAACTTGATCTTACACCGCGTCGCATAGCAGTGGCATTTTCAGTCCTTGGCTGCAGTGTCAGTTCAGGGCCCCCCCCCCCCCAACTGCATGTCTCCTTAGGACCACAAGGGAAGGACAACTAACAAGTATCACAAACTCCGCTTAGAAACCGGCAATCTCCTTCTTGGGCTGAGCCAAGATATGCTTGATGATGAGGCCGAATCCGAAAAGAATAAGCGACATCAACCAGATGGCCTCCGGCAAGGGCGTATGCTGCATCTTCTCCGTCTTGGAGTCCGATGTGGCCAGGGCGTCAACCACGGCGGAGTTTCCGTTCGTCCGCTCTTTATCACAGAACTCTTCTGGTTTGGTATCCGTGAACATGTACCTCACGCACATGTAAACTGCCCTCATGCACACATCGGCTGGCAGTTTCTGGAAGCAGTTTGCCGTCTGGCGGTCGAAACAAAAAGAGGGGCCGCACTGCGTCTCGGATGGATCCTCATTGGGGAAGTTCAAAATCTGTCCTTCCAAGTCTGCGACAGCTGATACGGCAAGCAGGAACAGCAGAACCAGTCTTGCCATGGCGATAAGGTCGTCAAACAACACAGGCTAAACCCGCGTGTCTTTCACGATTTCAGGTCCTTCAGCCAGAGTGGCACGCGGGTTTCCGAAAATTGTGGTTCTTGTTCATGTTATTATTATTATT